GTGAAGGGCATGCCGGCAAACCAGGCAAGTCAGAGGCGCGCCCACAGGTCACCTGTCTCAGACACAGGCGCCCCCGCAAAGCAGGGGGGCCACAGACCCTGCGACGTACCGCCGACTTCACTGGGGGTTGCTGGGACCATCAAGAACATACCGTTCTGAAGTCCTCCCCACCCAGAAGGCAGCTGCGTGGAGCAACCGTCCGCGGGCGGGGGGCCAGCGGTACAGGGTGGAAGGGGACGTGGAGAGGGGCCTGATCCGGTGGAAGTCAACGTCAGAGACGGCGGGCAGGAGGGCACACCGCCCCAGGCCTCCTCTTCTCCCTTCTGCTCCACGCCCCATGACACCGTCCACGCCACGCTGCCAACCCTCCCTGGGCGCCTGCCACACGTCTGCGCGCCCGGACTTCCTCAGGCCACACGCTGATCAGGACGGACAACCTGCGGCACAACTCGCCTGTCTCGGGTTCACTGAAAGGCACCCTGAGGCACAGCACTGGGCCACACGAGGGCTTCTCAGGCCTGGCGCCCCTGACGCGTGGGGCTGGGTCGTGTTTTCGGGTGGGTGCTGCCCTGCCCACTGCAGGACGTCGAGCAACATCGCCGGCTTCTCCCCCCTGGATGACAGGAGGATGCCTGCAGCCGGTGGGACGATCAGGGCTGTTTCTGGACGTGGGCTACCGTCCCCTGCAGGTGAAATGGCTCCCAGCGGAGAAGCACCGTGCCGCGGAACGGAGGCCTCTGGCGTCGGGTCCCCCGCGCTGCAGTGTGCTGCTCCATCACCAGCCGCTTGGCCGTGAGCAGGTCCTTCTCATGCTGTGTCTTTGTTTCCTGTAAAGCAGGAGTGTGACAGTGTCCACCTCAGGGAGCAACGTGGGGTAAGTGAGGTCATGCAGGAAGGGCACGCAGAGCAGGGCCAGGCCCCGTCCTCACGACGCACGTGCAGTCGCTGATACTCTGTGCTGGGCACTGGAGATGCTGATTGCGAGGCTCTGTATTCAGATCAGCCGTAGGGAGAAGGATCAGCCTCGCCCAGAGAGAGGCCTGCCCTCTGCCCTGGGCTCTAGCCATCTCTACACCCCAGGAAGGTCTCTGTGGCCCGTGGGCTTTGGCCAGCAGAGAGAGTAAAGGGGACGTGGAGAGGGGCCGGATTGGGCTGGCTGGTTCAGGAAGGGGCCTCCGCGGGGCCGCGCGGGATCTGTGGTGTCTCTAGAAGTGCTGGAGACCACAGCTCTCGGGCCGAGCTCCAGGGCTGCAGGCTAATGGTCAGCCCTGCCGGCTGCAGGTGACTGAGCCCCAGCAAAATCCCTGGACACAGAGGCTCGGCCCGGCTGCCCCGGTAGGTGGTACTCGGCGCCTGGTGCCACATACAGCAGCCGAGAGCGCTGCCGTCCACGACTCCGCGGGGAGACAGCATGGACGCTCCAGAGTCGGTAGTTTCTCTGGACGCTTCCCTTGGCTGATGTTGGTCTGTCCTCGTTCCTTGCAGTAAACCACAACCATGACAGCCTGCAGTGGGTTCTGGGGGTCCTCCCGACAAGTCATCAAACCTCGGGGTGGTGGGTGTCAGCGGGGAGGGGTCCCGTGTGGACTGTGCCTGCCGTCTACGCAGGCTCACTCCCACGCCTCCTCACGGCAGGACGGTGGACTGACCACCTGCCGGTGGGACCCCTTCCTTGAGCACACCTCCTCAAGCACTGTGAACCTCCCGCCACACTTCTTGAAGTCTAGTGCTCCCTGGGGGGCCGACATCGGTGGTGCTGGTGTTGAAAGATGTGAGGCTTCGGTTAACAGGACAGAATAATTTCATTTTAAATCACTGCACTGAACGTTTGGGGCAGGATTTCAAACCCCAGAGGAGGAACAGCCCTCTTCTGGCAAGGCGTGTGAGGAGAGGGAGACACCTGGCCAGGCCCCCAGCTTAGGCACAGTGGCCAAAAGAGCTGCGACCCCCGGGCCTGGCGGGGGCCTTTCCCAAGCATGGAGCCGACACAGCCGTGCTCCAAGAAACATGCCCGGGCCGCGAGCTGGGCCAGCTACCCCACCGGCCACGCCAACAGGGCCGAGGCCCTGCACACTAGGTCTGCCCAGTCCGTGGCAGCACGGGGAAGGCAGCCAGAACCCGGGGGTTACGTGGGGACCAGGAGCTGAGAATGTCCCGACTCAAGAGGAGCTTGGAAACAAGGACGTCAAAGCACACAAAAATAACCACCCCCGAGACATTTGACCAACAAACTCGACACCTGGGAGGGATCAATCCTGAGGAAACGGGAAGTAAGAGGACTCTGAAATAAGTACGTTTAAGACACTCCAGGAGATTTTTAAAAAGCAGGTGGAGAGCCGCAGTAAAACCAAAAGGAATGTCAAAAAACCAAAAGGTAAAAACAGAACAAGTGGATACAAAAAAGAAAGAAAGAAAATCCAGCAACCAATCTGGAGATGAAGAACTATAGCCTCGCATGAATGACAACACGGAGCGAGCCTGCTCTTGGCAGAGGGCTCGAAGACACGAAGAGCCAAGACAGGCACGACCCTCCCCCCCGACCCCCCGCCCCGGGAGCTTACGTCCTCGAAGGGGATAGTCAGTCATCATAGGTGCTACGGAAAACCTGCAGCAGGGTGAGGGGTGTCGTCAGATGGGGGGCACCTGGAGGTCGGGGAAGGCTGCCCTGACAAGGTCTACAAAGGTACACGGAGCCACAAAACCCATGGGAGAAGAACGTTCCAGACAGGTGGGGGGTCCTTATCCTCATAAATTGGTTCTACTGAAATTGTAATAATAAAAACAAAGCAAACATTACTGGTGAAGTTACAGATGCTGCAGTTATGTTGGAAACGGGACTGAGGCCACTTGCATCCCATGATTCTGCATGACAAGTCCTGGCTGATACAATTAGAAAATACAATACATGCAAACAGAGTTAATTAAGGACAGGAAAGGGAGAAAAACATTTTCTTAAATTATCTTAAGATGATAATACTGTCTATATAGATAAGCTGAGACCCTCAGATAGACTAACAGAGCTAATAAGAATTCACCAAGATTGCTGAATACAGATTAATATAAAAAACAACAGTATTCTTATGCATCAATGTTAACCAAATAGAAAAGGTAATTAGAAAAAAAATCCTTTTCATAAAACAAAAAAAAGTGTTAGGTACCTAAGAACAAGTCTAAGTAAAATCACTACCAATTTTATGAAGGGAAAAAAAAAAAGTCTTCAGACATAAAAGAAAACCGTAATTATTGGACGGACATACCACATCATTCCATGGAAAGGCTCAATACAATATGATAGCAAATCTCTGGATGTTTTTTATAGTATCCTCTTATTATTTCCTAGACGCTTCATATCATTCAAAGCAAAAACTAAGAAATTCCATATAATTTAAATCCAGATCTCAACTGGAGTTTTCACTGAACATTACGAACTGATTCTGTAATTGATACGGGAAAGCAAGCTCAGAGAATTCGGAACAAAAGGAAAACAGAAGAACAAAGAAAGGATCCTTGCCCTTCCAGACAGTAAGGCCTCTTGAAAAGCCATGTCATTAACCAAGGGGGCGCTGGTGCACACACAGGCCCCAGGGGGGCCGCTGTCGGCCGGTGCCCCGTTTCTGTCCCACGTGCGCCGGCTGAAGGTGGGAGGGATGGCGTGTGCCCTGGAAGGCGGCGGGGTGAGGCCAGAGCGTGGCGTGTGGACAGAGGGGAGCTGGGGCCAGGAAGGAGCTGGGATCCTGGGGTGCATACCCAGCCCTGCCAGGGGCCTGAAGGGGACCGTGATGGGGACACTGGCCGGGGAGCCTCCCTGACCAGGGGAGCCTCTTCACGGAGCTGCAGGAAAGGACAGGGCCACCACCACCTCTTCTGTCCACAATAACAGTGTCCTTCAGAGCCAGAGAGACCAAGAGGAGTTCACCTAGTCCAGGCTCTCCCTTTGCAAGGGAAACTAGGCCAAAACGGGATGATGGCTTGGCTGAGGCCACGAGACCACTTCCTAATAGAACCCGCTGGAAACCTCCCCTTTGGGCTCACCCAGGGCTCTCTCCAACTGTGGCATACAAGCAATGCTCTCCTCCTTGACCTGGCACTTGAGCCCTTCTGTGCACGGCCATCTTGAACCTCTCTTCTCCTCTGGCCTCTCCAGCAATTCTCCCTCACTGGTCTTGGTCTCCTAATGTCTTCTCCTCTCTCCACTTCTGGCTCCTGGTCCTCTCCTACCCACCCCTCGCTCTGGAGTCCCCACCAACTCTGTGACAGCCCACGCAGTGCCCAATGCACTCTCTTCCTGGATGGCTACAGAACCCCGTGGCTTTGATTAGGAGCTTGAAGCTAGGCAACTTGTATATATCATACCTATAGCCCAGCCCTGCACCCTAGGCAACCCAGGGCTTACTCGGGCAGTCCAGAGCATGCACCCACATGGCAGCACACAGAGGGGAGTCCTAAAGAGCTAACATCCTCCAGGTGTAGCGATTTCCTAAGCCAAGAGCCTCCCAGGGTCAACATGGAGAACCATGGGTTCCCAACAGGTGCATGAAACCATCCTATTGATATGACAGAATCAGGTTGACATAAAATCAGTGTCACAGAAGTCTGTGTGTAAGGAGGAAGATCTAGTAACTGACAGAGTCCAAGGCAACAACCAGTGTTTGAGAGTTACAGGTAAGGCTCTGATCCCGGAGGGATCCTGGCATAATAGAGAACTCAGGGACCAGGAGAGCATGCAGCCAAATGCAGTATGAGGAGTATATCCAGACCCAGTCATCTCAACCAAGTGACAAGGTGAGACCAGGCCCACGCCCTGGCGGCTGGCAGGTCTGAGAAGTCCAAATGGGCGTCGGTCGAGTGACTTCACCCACGGGGCACCGCTAACACGGCTAGTTTAAAAGCCCTTCTCAGCCACAGGTCTCCTGTTTCCAGTTTAGGGCCAGGTTTGCGGAACCAAGCATGTCATCAATCAAGTGTATAAAGAAAACACAAAAAATGTTTGAACACCTTACCTGGTCCCAGGGGGAGACGGTGCCTCCAAAGCACATGAACAGGTACCCCATGGCCACGAGACATATCCATATCACCAAGGAGAAAAGGCGGAGCAGCTTCTTAAACACGGACTCGATGCAGACGAGGACGAATATCGCAAAGAAAATCGCCAGGGCTGTCGGGACCGTTATTAAAAATGCCACGTGGTCTTCAACTTCCTAAGAGGAAGAAAAATATGGCAAAGGCACAATTTAGCAACCCGGTGGTACCCATGGTTCATGTCCTCAAATGCCATCAACATTAATCAACGTCAAGTAGATCGAGTTGTAAAAAAATTATTCCAGAAGTAGGAGAGTTTGAACGTCTGAAAATTTAAATTTCCCATTAAATCACTATGTTTCTCTATAGAAATAACCCAGTATTGTATATTTAAATTATGCAAAACAGCTACACCATCAAATTTAGATTTTCCCTGATAAATGGAGAAATGGATTTTATTCAAAAGTGAATGTAAGAATATTTACTATAAGGATAAAAATAAGACAAGCAACTTCACTGCCTGAATCAGAGGATCAGAAATGCCCTTGCCTTAGAAAATTAAGTCTTCCAAATGGATTTGAAATGTTTTATTTAAAAATCTAAAAATGGTCTGAGCCTCCCAAGGGATGAGCTTTTATTTTAATGCATGGCAATTAATGTTTTAACGGGATCACATATTAAGAGAAAAGGGTCAGAAAATACTAATTACAGAAGCAAGAGAGCAGGAAACACTTGCAAGAACGTGCCATTTGGCTGGTTTACTTCCCCACTTCTCTGGAGCTCCAGTGGCAAAAAGAAAATGAGCATCTAGTATTAGCCTCCCTGATGCATTTTTTGAGGTCCACTTTTGCACACTAATGTTCCCTCTCCATCTATCCCTTTCTAGCCACACACGCACAAAAGGAACACTATTTCTATTCTACACAATGTCCACTCAACGTGATAGACGTCACGCTTCCTTTGAATACGGCAGCATGGATTTCAGGCTTTAGCTTTGGCAAAGCACTGCTAGAAAGTCTCCATGAACAGCACTCCCTGTGGGCTGGAACCCACCAAAATCTTCATCCCTCATCCAAACACAGGTAGCCACTAATGCACCTTGATCAAAGAACCCACATGGCCAGAACCCTAAGAACTTTCATGGAGGCCTTAGAATAGCAAAGACAGTAAAATCCGGGACTTGTGGGACAGTTCTTCCAAATACCAGAGGCTGGCAAGCCCTTCATCTTTTCTCGTCGGCATGGGGTTCACTCCATCCCGTTAGCAGCTCCAGCTTCACACTGGAGATGGCCCCACCCTGATACCAAACCACTAACCACGGGGACACGGGGAAGCAGAGCAGATCTGCCAAATCACACACAGACTCCAGATTAACGTCGGGGCAAAGAGAGGGCCCTAAGCCCTCCCTCAATTCTCAACTGACTTGGTTTCCCTTTCTCCCCCACCATTACACGTGTTACCTGATACCTGGGGAAAAGACCACCACAAGAACAACCACAACACATAACAAGATACATATTCCCCTGCTAAGCACTCATACGTATATTAACCTCTTTAATATTTACAACACCCTGTGTGGGGCATAGTGTCTGTGCTCTTCCACAGGTGAGGAAAATGAGGACCCAAGAATGAAAATGAGTCACTGCAGACGGTAGAGCTGGGGAGGGAGGGGGCCAGGGGTCCGGCTGGGGTCACTTCAGGCTGCCACCACCGCGGGGCTCTGGCCTCTGCTCACGCAGCGGACGGCAAGCGAGACCAAGGGGCAAAATATTGTACGTTTCCAGAACTGGCAGAAGACAAGAGGATCAAATGTGATGTTCTTATTCTCCCCCCCACGGCTGTTTTTGCCCATGATTAAGTGCCTGAGCTGTACTCAGACACACTCTGATGATGGCAAAGGGTCTCAGAGGTACAGCAGGGCCGAGCGCTCCCCACACTCCGACCCCACAAACAAACGTGCTCCTGGATGTGACCGCATGTCCTCTGGGAACATCCAATTGAGATCCCGGCCGCTCGCTGCCCACATGTTGCGTGAAAACTTAATTGTAAACCTCCCCAAATGAACTTAACTGAACTGTGGGCAGAAAGCTGGCCCCTAAGAAACCAGGACAGTTGTGTTCCTCGTGTGACCGTTCACTTACTTCATTAACCTGGTCGGGGAGAAACAATCGTTGACTTCACTGGCTCTCGTTTCTCCGGGAAAGACTGAAAATGGTGGGAAAATATGCATGACGGTAAAGTGAAAATTAGTACGTGAAGGCACAGAAAGGATCAGGAAGCGGGGGAAAGCGGCATTACCTGGCCTCTCCTTGCACTTCTCTCAGAAGGGATCTAACTGGAAACAAGACAAAGACCCAAGGTCTGCTCATGCCGGGTACAGTACATAGAGTCAGACTTGATACCATTTCAGGTCTTAAGTACTGGAGTCTCTATCTCATTTTCTTTTGAATTTCAGGGTCCCCATCACTGAGAAGTGCCTCTTCTGGGCCGAGGGTGACTTCCCCATTCAGCACAGCAAACACAGCATCTGGGTCGCAGAATACTTTGAAGGGTCCACAAATGTGTTTTAATTTCTTTTAGAATCAAAACAAACAAAAAAGCTCTTAGGGTCAAAGGTTACATACATGTTGATGCTAACACAATTGTAAACTATAATTCTGAATCCATTTTGAGGGAGGAAGGGGCCTTCCAAGGCTCCTAAGTTTGCGTGAGACTGTCTTGACAGTCTTGTCTTGACATGACACACCATGATCCCAGGGCCTGGTGTTGTATCCTGGGGGCAGATGCACTGCAGGATGGGCTGGATCCAGCACAGCGGAGAACTTCAGCTTCATCCAGCATCCCCCAGCCTCGGGAGGCGAGCCGGGGTCCCTGGCCAATGCCTCCTGCTGTCTTCTCAGCTGCTGCTCATGAGGCTGCTGGCCCTAACCACCGCCCAACCTGAGCCCAGGGAAGAATTCAGCTCTTCCCAAAAGAGGACAGCCAGCAATTGATTCTGCATTTGCCTTCTGAACTCAAACTCCAAACAAGTTTTAATAGGGACTTCTCCACAAAATAGGATCTTTTATAGGGTGTCAAGGAAAAAAACAGTGGAGCATTCATTAAAGAATGTATAAGCTTAGGGGCCACATTCTTTCCCAGTCCTACTGCTGGCATCACGTGTCTCTCTCCCCCAGGGGAAGTAAATGAAATGCAGGAATGCCCTCAGTCCCTGGGCCACGGGCTCTCTTCCCTCCCCTGGTCCATTCCCAGCGGACAGGATGATGAAAAAAGCCACAGAGGCACACCCCGTGGCTGTTTTCTTCGGAGCTACTCCAGTTTTCAAAATTCAGAGCATAAAACAAACAACATAGCTTAAAATAAAGTAAACTAAAACATTAAAAACACTGTCAGTCTCAATGAAATATGCTTATGCATCCCAAACCCCACTTCCCTTCCTGGAAACAAAAATTCACCATACAACACAAACTAGGTGAAATGTTTGAAAATGCCTTTAGTAGTAGTCAAACACCTTTAAGACACGCCTTAAATAGGTAAAAAAACAAAAACAACAACAACAAAAAACTCCATACAACACAAACTAAGTGAAACATACAAAAATGCCCTCATTGCTCCTAAAATTTACTAAAAAAATGCCTTTAAAAATGTTTTTAGGGCGCCTGGGTGGCTCAGTTGGTTAAGCGACTGCCTTTGGCTCAGGTCATGATCCTGGAGTCCCGGGATCGAGTCCCGCATCGGGCTCCCTGCTCAGCGGGGAGTCTGCTTCTCCCTCTGACCCTCCCCCCTCTCATGCTCTCTCTCTATCTCATTCTCTCTCTCAAATAAATAAATAAAATCTTTAAAAAAAAAAAATGTTTTTAAAAGTACCTTACAATGCAAACTAAATGAAACATATGAAAATGCCTTTTCAAAGGGAGATCTTGAGCATGGTATCATCTATTTAATGATAATGGGTCCCTCTTGCTCATTCCCTTCAAACATCTTATCCTTTCCTTTTCAATGCATTTTCTAGTAATTTTGGATGGCTTCTAATTGCTAAGCCTATTAAATACCCATCGCTTTCACGTATTATGCGACAGCTCTTTTGTTTCTTAGAGGCTTTTCCACAGAGCAACAGATTATCTATATTTTCATTCTTTTCCACTTGTATTTTTCATTTTTTTTGTTAAACAGTGCTATTTTTAATTTACATGGTAAAGGACAGTCTCATGCAAAACACTGCTTTTCTATAAAAAAAAAAAAACAAAAAACTTTGAAGTCCAACAGACTGAAGGTAGGGTCCTATCCCCACTCCTGCGTGACTCGGGGTGAACACTGCGTTTCCCTAAGCCTGTTTCTTCATGTAAAATGCAACACGGGTACAATCTCAATACTTTCTCACCAAGGCTGGTCTGATTGTTCATTATTGGAATGATGCCCATTTTGCACTCTAAATAATAATTTATCACCACAAATTATTTTGAAGGTTTGTCACTGGGCAAAAGTAAACCAGATTTTAGCTATAATATACATTTGACTACAGATACATATTTTCATTCATTCATATATATGTATGTGTGTGATGTAATAGAAAATGTATTTTTCATTCTTTTCCACATAGAGAGTCATACTCCATTTTATCATGAGGTATGAAAGGAATAAACAAAAATTCTGATTAAATAATCCTATAAAACTGTGATGAAATAAATCAAAGATCTCAATAAATGGAGAGATATTCCATGCTCATGGATAGGAAGACAATAATGTCAAGATGTAAATTCTTCCCAAATTAATCTATAGAGTCAGTGCAATCCCAGTTAAAATCCCAGCCAGTTATTTTGTAGATATCAACACATCGATTCTAAAGTTTACATGGGGAGACAAAGCACCCAGAATAGCAAACACAATGTTGAAGGGCAAGAAAAAATTTGGAGGACTGACCCTACTTGACTTCCAGCTTTGCGATAAAACTACAGTAATTAAGACAGGGATGGTACCGGCAGAAGAATAGACAAATAGATCAACAGAATGAAATAGACCCACATAAATGTAGTCAAATGATATCTGACAAAAGGAACAAAGACAATTCAATGGAGAAACAATAGTCTTTTCAGCAAAACATCTTAAAACAACTAAATAGACATCCATATACAAAAAAATTCTAGACACGTACTTTATACCTTTCATAAAAATTAACCCA